CCACTGCTGGGATTATACCCTACAAATTCCAAAACACCAGTTCAAATGAACCTATGCATTCCAATGTTCATAGCAGCACAATTTACAATAGCCAAGTGCTGGAAGCAACTAAGTGCCCATCAGTAAATGAGTGGGTCAGAAAGCTATGGTACATTTACACAATGGAACACTATGCAGAAAAAGAAAGGAAAGGAGGGAGGGAGGGAGGGAGGGAGGGAGGGAGGGAGGGAGGAAGGAAGGAAGGAAGGAAGGAAGGAAGGAAGGAAGGAAGGAAGGAAGGAAGGAAGGAAGGGAGGGAGGAAGAAAAAGATCTACTACCCTTCACAACAGCATGGATAGAACTGGAGAGCCTTATGCTAAGCAAAATAAGATGTGGGGGGCAGCGAAAGACAAATACCATATGATCTCACCTATAACCTGATCAACAAAACAAACAAGCAATAAAATAATAACCAGCAACATTGAAAGAAAAAACAAACCAACAGTAACGTGAGGGAAGGAGGGAGGGGGTAACGGGAAAAAGGAGGGAAAGGGTCGAATCAAAGAACATATATAAAGCACCCATGGACAAAGCCAAAGTGGGGAAGGATTGAGGGCGGGGGGGTGGGGGTGGCAGGGGAAAGTGGTGGTAGGAAAATGGAGACAAATGTATTTGAACAGTAAAAAAAAATAAACAAAAAAAGAATAGTCATAGGGATGTAAAGTACAACATAGGGAATAGTGTAGCCAAAGAACATACATGCATGACCCATGGACATGGACAATGGTGTGGGGATTGCCTGAGGGAGTTGGGGTGTGTTCGTGGAGAGGGGCATAGGGGAGAATTGGAACACCTGTAATAGCATAAATAATAAAATATAATTTAAAAACTACAAAAATATTAACAGAACTAAGTTTATCAAAGTTTCAGGTTATAATATCCATATACAGAAATGAATTGTATTTTTATATAATAGCAGTGAATAATTAGAAATTGAAAATTTTTTAATACCATTTATAATAGCATTCAAAATGTAAAATATTTAGAGATAAACATGAAAATGTTAAAAACCTGTATAAAATATTGCTGTGAAAATTAAAGAAAGCCTAAATAAATGGACAAATATATCTTGTTCATGAGTCAAAGAGTCAATATTGTTAAGGTGTCAATTCTCCCCCTCGTTGATCTGTAAATTCAATGCAATCCAGTCAAAATCCGATCAGGGTTTATTGTAGAAATAGACAAGCTGATTCTACAATTCACATAGAAATGCAAAAGACCCCCCAAAGAGGTGAAACAATTCTGAAAAAAAAAAAGTTGAAGGACTAAGACTATCTGATATCAAAAATTATTACAAAGCTACAATAATCAAAATATTGTGATATATAGTCATGGACAAGGAAAGTATAGCATAGGGAATATAGTCAATACTATTGTAATAACTTTGTATATTGCCAGGTCGGTACTGGAAATGTTGGGGAGAACATTTTATGAAGTATATGTTTTTCTAAACAATACTGTACACCTGAATCTAATACAAAATAATATTGAATATAAACTGTAATTGTAAAATAAAATATTTTAAAAATTGTGGTACTGGCATAAGGACAAATACATCAATGGAACAGAACAGAGGTTCCGGAAATAAACCCATGACTATATATACAATTGATTTTTGACAAAAGCACAATGGCAATGAATTAGAGAAAGAAAAGCCTTCACAACTCATACTTCTAAAACAACTAGGTAACTATATGCTAAAAGAAATGAACATTGATCCATACCTTGTGCAATATACAAAAAAATCAACCCCAAATGGGTCATAGACCTAAATGTATGATCTATAAAACTCATAAAATGAATGCGGAAAACTTTTGTAATCTTATGATAGGTAAAGATCCATTATATATGACATCAAAAGCATGACTGATAAAAGAATAAGATGATAAATTAAACTTTATCAAAACTTTTTTTTCTCTTCAGGAGACAGTGATCGAAAAATAGTGTAGTGAAAACTGGATATCCATATTCAAAAATTATCTCAAAATAGATCACAGACCACCCTGACAAGTGTGACTCAGCTGGTTGGGCATCATCCCACAAAGCAAAAGGTCACTGGTTCAAATACTGGTCAGGGCACATAACCTGGGTTGTGGGGTTTATTCTAGTCGCATACAAAAGGCAAACAATGGATGTTTTCTCTCTCACATCGACGTTTCTCTCCCTCTCTGTCTCTGTCCCTTTCCCTCTCTAAAAATGGATAAAGTTTAAAAAAAAGTAGATCACAGGCCTAAAATAAAAGCTAAAACTATAAAACTGTTAGAAGAAAGCATAGGGGGAAAGCTTCATTATATTCGGTTTGGCAATGATTTCTTGATTATGACAGTAAAAGCACTGGCAACAAAAGAAAAAATTGTACTACATCAAAATTTTAAAATGTGCATTAAAGGACAATCAACAAAATTTTTAAAAAAGCAACTCACAAATTGGGAGAGAATATTTACAAATCATATATCTGATAAGAGGTCAACATGCAGAATATATGAAGGACTTCTACAACTAAACAACAAAAAACAAATAACCCAACTTAAAAATGGGCAAAAATAAATTACTCGAAGAAGATATACAGACAAGCAATAAGCGCATGAAAAGATGCTCAACATAACTAATGATTAGGGAAGTGCAAATCAAAATCGCAATGAACCCTAGCTGGTGTGGCTCAGTGGATTGAGCGCTGGCCTGTGAGCCAAAGGGTCACCAGTTCAATTCCGAGTGTAGGGCACATGCCTGGGTTGCAGGCCAAGTCTCCAGCAGGGGGCACGTGAGAAGTAACCACACATTGATGTTTCTTCCCTTCCCTTCCCTTCTCTAAAAGTAAATAAATAAAACCTTAAAAAACACACACACAATGAAATGTCACTTCACAATTAGGATGATTACTATTTAAAAAAATAGAAAAAAGTGTTGGCAAGGGAGAGGCTGGAACCCTGGTGCACTGTTGGTGGGAATGTAAAATGGTGCAACTGCTACAAAAAATAGTATAGTGGCTCCTCAAGAAAAAAGTAAAAATAGAACTACCATATGATCCAGCAATCCCGCTATCCCGCTTGTGGGTATAGACTGAAAAGAATTGAAATCAGGGACTCTTATGTACAGCTGTGCTGAAAGCAGCATTATTCACAATAGCGAAAAGGTGGAAGCGGCCAAGTGTCCATCAACGAATAAATGGGTAAACAGAATATGGTATCTACTACAATGAAATATTATTCGGCCTCAAAAAGGAATGAAACTCTGATGCATGTTGGACATTATGCTAAATGAAATAAACCAGGCACAAAAGGACAAATAATGTTATTATTCCACTTATATGAGGAACCAAGAGTAGTCAAAATTATAGAGAATGATGGCTGCCAGGAGCTGGGGGTGGGAGAGTTATTTAATGTTTACTATATAATTTCAGTTCTGCCAGATGAGTTCTGAATATAAATGGTGATTATTGCACTATTTCCTGTGTCAGATGAAGGAAGCTTTCCTTCATTATTTTTTCAAGTAAGTTTTCAGTTTCTCACTCTTCCTCTTCTTCCAGCACCCTCATGATTCGGATGCTGGAATGTTTAAAGTTGTCCCAGAGGTTTCTAAGCCTCTCATTTTTTTTGAATTTTTGTTTCTTCATTCTGTTCTGGTTGAATGTTTATCTCTTCCTTCGGCTCCCAATTGTTGATTTGAATCCGTTTCCTTTCCTTTACTCTTCGGCCCCTATAAATTTTTATTTCACTTTGCTTAGCCTTCACTTTTGCCTCCATCTTGCAACCATACTCAACCAATTCAGTGAGCATCCTGATTACCAGTGTTTTGAACTGTGCATCTGATAGGTTTGCTATCTGTTCATTGCTTAGTTCTATTTTTGGAGCTTTGATCTGTTCTTTCACTTAGGCCATATTTCTTTCTCAACACGCCTGTTATGTCAGAAAGGGTGGAGCCTTAGGTATTCAGCAGGGCAGGGCAACCCAGGTCGCTGCATTGTAACCCTGTATATGGGGGAGGGGTCCAAGAGAAAACAATGCCCCTTGTTTGGCTCCTGGCCACCTTTCAGTCACCTCCCCCGCTACTCCACAAGCAAATTGAGCCCTTCTAGTGCTGATTCCTGGGTGGGTGGGTTTGTGTACATTCTAGGACCCTGTGGGCCTCTCCAGCACTCTCCTGTGAGGCTGGAGTTTCTCCCGCCATCACAACCCCCACAGATTTTTATAGCCAGAGGTTTTGAGGCTCTTTTCCCACACTAAAACCCTGGATTGTGCCATCTGCCTCACTCCACAGCTGTTCCTCCAGGTTTATCCACATGCCAATGTGGGACCCCCCAGACCACCAGCCACCACCTCACCCACCTGGTCCTCCAGCTGCTGCCTTGCCACTCATCCTCTCTGCCCCCGCTGCTGGTCTCCAGCCTTACCTGTCTGGATGAATGTTTCTTCTTTAACTCCTTGGTTATCGGACTTCCCTACAGTTTGATTTTCTGGCAGCCTGGTTATTTGTTTTTAAATTTGTTGTCCTTCTTTTGGTTGTGTGAGGAGGTAAAATGTATCTACCTATGCCTCCATCTTGGCCGGAAGTTATCGGTACCTCGTTTTCCCTTCATGTGAACAAGGCAGTGCTTACACTTCAGCACCAACCAGGCTTGTGTGCTCTCACCTTCCCTCTATCCCATCCCCAGAGCCTTCCAGATACAGAAAGGTTATTACTGTTCGCCCTACTGCCCCTACTGCCACTCAAGTAAGGATCTGTGGACTTGGGTGAAAGATACATGACCTGCAGCCCACTGCAGAAATGTCTTGCCATTAAGACCTATTGTGGACTGGTAAAGAAATAATCACCCTCCCAGGGACCACCAGGTCTACCAGCAGCCTAGCCTCTAGCTACATATGTAGGTGTCCAAGAGGATTTGGTGAGGAGTTAGACGCCCCCCTCCAACCAGCCCAACCTACAGGGTTGGGGATAAACTGTTAGCATCAGATCTGTTATCATAATTGCTTTTATTTGTCTTGGAAAACAGTGGGGATTAAATAAAGGATATTGGGTTGGCCAGTTCCAGCTACTTGGGACTCTTTCTTTCCCCTGAAGAATGGTGAAAAGTATCAGGGAAGGTGTGGTTCTTTTAATATACAGGTGCTTCAGGGAGAAACAAACCACTTTATTTCATCTGTATTCCCCCCATCCTACTGGAGCTGGCACTTGGAGAGGGGATCAGTCAATCAGTCACCAGCACTGTCATCAGCATTGCCAGAGAGGTCAAGGGCAGACATCATGGAATCAGACAGCTTACTGGCGAGTTTATCTGCAGATGGAGAAACACAGGCAGTCACTTGGTGGCTGGCTTGCCAACAGGAGGCCTGAGGAACCTGCACCAAACTCCCACACTGGCTCATTTACCCCCCAACATTAAACAAAACAACTGGTGGGCTGCTGCTAAGCAGCCACTGCTCAACCTCTCAGGCAGATCCCATTTGTCTTATGTGTGAAATGATCACCCCAACACAGATTCTATCTTAGAATGTCAGACTCACTGGGCTCCAAGTATTTCTATCCCTTCCTAGTATCAAAACATCAATTTCTTTTTACTGTGCTGAACTTACTAGCACTGTCATTACCTTCAAGGCTCTCAGAGCAAAGGGACAGAGGAGCTTTGAGCTTGAATTATCACCTCCCATCCTCCAGCCATACCCTACTGTTCCTCAGGAAAGCCTTCCCTACTCACAGCTACCCCACTACCATCTGCAGACTGGGTTAGGTTCCTTCATTGTGCTTTTGGTATCTTCATGATCACTGTTTTGTCAATGTCTGTTTTCTTGTTTTCCTTTCCATTCCCCAATAAGACCAGGAGTTCCAGGGTAATTAATCTGAGGATTCCTAGGCCTCAGTGTGGAACCAGGCCAAGAGTGAATGGTTAGAAACACAACCTAGTTCAAAGAACAGAACTTATGGGGCCCATCAGTTCTGGGTTTTCATTTTGGCTCCATTAAATACTAGTTGTCTTACCCTGAGTGTGTCACTTAATGTCTCTATGGCTCAGTTTCCTCACTTATCAAATGTGGGTAAGACTTTTGCACTGGGTTGGTGAAGACTAGTACAGCATGAAGACATAAATGGGCCAGCCACACAACAGACCACCACTAAAATGAAGGAGGAATTTCCATGTGAATCCACATGGAAATATCTCTAATATATATACTGAATGGAAAATGATGTGGGAAACTGTATGTTCAGTAGACCAGCAATTGTACAGAAAAGGAGAATAAAGAATATACAGATGTTTGCCTGTGTACTTATCTCAGGAATGAGATACAAGGAATTAACTGGTCACCTCTGGGAGGATAGCATGGATGACTAAGGGATTAGAAGGAGAGAGACATTTTATTATATATCATTTTATATGTTTTAGATTTTGAGTATACTGCCTACTGGTAGAATAAACATTATATATGGCCTATAAGCTTCCTATTACATATAAAGCAGCTAATAAATGGTAGTTACCACAAACTAGGCCAGTGTTCTCCCCAAGTGTGGTCCCCAGAAGAGTAACAAAAGCATTACCTAGGAAGCAGTTAGAATCACAAATTTTCAGTCCCCATGGCCAACCTACTCAATTGGAAATTCTGGGGATGAGTCCCAGAAATCTCTGTTTTACCAAGCCCTCTGGCAGTTCTAATACATGCTCAAGTTTGAGAACCACTGTGCCTACAGATGAGCCTCCTAACCCATCCCTGCCCCCTAACCCCTGCCTGGGACTGGATACATGGAGGTGCTCACTCAGGACCCTTAATCAAGGTCCCAGGTGGGCCCTTTTTGGAGCACAGGGGTGTTGTCTGGTGCCCCCACCTGTACGCTTCTGCATCTTCTTCTTATTCTTCAGGGCAAATGCCAGAGCCTGGCCCTGCTGCAGGGGGTCTGTCTCCATGATCCTCTGTATCATTGGGCGGCGGTCCACTGGGCAGACATTCCTAGGGTAGTCGTCCACATTGCGCTTAGCCCACCCCTTCTGATGACGGTTCGAATTGGTGCAATACCCAGTGAGCTCTCCATCTCCAATCTGGTGAGACAAAGGAGAGCAATGAGGTCTGGGCCCCCAAAGACTTCTGCAGAGGAGGCAGAACAGGTTTAGATAAGAACAGGGAGACTGGAGCCATGCAGAACTAAGCTCCAACTCTGGCTCCACCACAGACTAGCAGGTACTTAGTTAACCCCTTAGCCAAAGTCTGATCATCTGTCAAATGGGGGTGGATAATGGGGAGCTTACATAGCTTCCACATAAAGAAAATGAAAAAATGGATTTACTTGATCAGTGACAACTGATACTATAATGATTCTTTGTTCAAGTGACCCTTCAAGGTCTTAGTCAATTTAACAAATATCTTCTGATACCTATTTTGTGCCCAGCTCTGTGCAGGGACATACTGGAGAAATGAGTCAGATGCAGTCTCATCTTCAAGAAGTCAGGCTAAAAAGGATACAACCAACAATACTACAAGTCAGATTATGAAAGAGCCAACCAGAGACACAGCATAAGTGACAGAGGTTGAGGGAATGGTGGTGGTCAACATACTTCTACTGATAGGAGAGTCATTCCTGACTGAACACTGGAAAAACACAGAGCATACCTGGGCACCCAAAAAGGTGTCTCTTCAGCTGGAACTGAAGGTACATGTGTGTAGTAAAAGCTAATAACAGAAATTTCACTACGTGCCACATACCATTCTAAGCACATGTGTATGTACACACACACAAACACAGGCATATGTATACATGTACACACACATATTACCTCATTTTTAGTATAGAGTAGTAGGAAACTACTAGAGGTCCCTGAGGAAAAACTGCTTGTACTGGGGCTTATGGACTCAGAGAGAAATATTATCAGGGGATGTCCTTAAACACACAACTTTACACTAATCTTCCTAAAAGCACCAAGAGAACCTTTGAAACTAAGTGACAATAGGAATGGCATAAAATCCTGCCACGGCCCCAGTGTAGGCTTCATCATCTTTTTTTAAAACCTCACCTTTATTTTTTATTATATTTTATTGATTATACTATTACAATTGTCCCCATTTCCGCCCCTTAGCTTCCCTCTACCCAGCACCCCCCATTCCCTCAGACAACCACCCACCACTGTTCATGTCCATGGGTCATATGTGTAAGTTCTTTGGCTACTCCATTTCCTACACTATACTTTACATCCCCATGGCTATTCTGTAACTACGTCTTTGTACTTCTTAATCCTCTCCTCTCTTCACCCACTCTCCCCCTCCCAACTCCTATCAGGCAACCATCATAATGCTTTCTGGCCCTGGCTTGTGTGGCTGAGTGGATTGAGAACCAGTCTGAGAACCAAAGCGTTGCTGATTCGATTCCCAGTCAGGGCACATGCTTGGGATGCAGGCCAGGATCCCAATAAGGAGTGTGCAAGAGGCAACCACACATTGATGTTTTTCTCCCTTTCTCCCTCCCATCCCCTCTCTAAAAATAAATAAATAAAATCTTTTAAAAAAAATGCTCTCCGTATCCATGATTCTATGTCTCTGTTGTTTGCTTAGTTTTTTAAATTCAATCAGATAGATTTGTATTTTTTTGCCATTTTATTGTTCATAATTTTGATCTTTTTCTTAAATAAGTCCCTTTAACATTTCCTATAATAATGGTTTGGTGATGATGAACTCCTTTAGTTTTTTCTTGCTTTGGAAGCTACCTGCCACTCAATTCTCAATGATAGCTTTGCTGGGTAGAGCAGTCTTGGTGTAGATCCCTGCTTTATATGACTTTGAACATTTCCTGCGAATCTCTTCTAGCCTGCAAAGTTTCTTTTGAGAAATCAGCTGAAGTCTTATGGGAATTCCCTGTAAGTAACTAATTTCTTTTCTCTTGCTGCTTTTAAGATTCTCTCTTTATCTTTAACCTCTGGCATTTTAATTAAGATGTGCCTTGGTGTGGACCGCTTTGGGTTCATATTATTTGGGACTCTCTGTGCTTCCTGGACTTGCATGTCTATTTCCTTCACCAAATTACAGAAGTTTTCTTTCATTATGTTTTCAAATAGAGTTCCAATTTCTGGCTCTTTCTCTTCTTCCTGTGGCACTCCTATGATGTGAATGTTGGACTTCCTCAAGTTGTCCCAGAGGATTCTTTCTTCTTGTTCCGATCAGTTGTTTTTTGCTGCCTTATGCTCCAAATCATTGATTTGATTCTTGGCTTCATCCACTCTACTGTTGCTTCCCTGTAAATTGTTCTTTATTTCAGTAAGCATATCCGTCGTTTCTGACTGGATCTTTTTTATGCTGTTGAGATCTTCACCAAGTTCATTAAGTATCCTCATAACCAGTGTTTTCAACTGTGCACCTGACAGATTGCTTACCTCCATTTTGTTTAGTTCTTTTTCTGGAGTTTTGATCTGTTCTTTCATTTGGGTCCTATTTCTTTCTCTCATTTTGGCAACCTCCGTGTTTGTTTCTATGTATTAGGTAGAGCTGCTATGACTCCATGACTTGGTAGTGTGGCCTAATGTAGTAGGTGCCCTGTAGGGTGCAGTGGCACAGCCTCCCCTATCACCCAAGCTGGGTACTCGAGGGGTGCCCTTCGTATTTGTAATTGAGCCCTGGCTGCTGATGGCAGATCAATGGGAGGGATTTACTCAGGCCAGTCCACTGCAAGGACTGGTTGTGGCCACTGACCACCAACCTCCACCCTCCATGGAGGATCAGCTGTGCAGGGGCAGGGTGGTGGTGCTCCAATGTGGTCTGTAGCTATCCAATGGGTGCACTGGCCCTGGGGGTTCCCAGGTGATGCAGGCCAAGGTCATTCCTAACCTGTGTTTTGCCTGGGGCCACCCTCCCTGAGCTATAAAGCAATCTGAGATGGCCGCTAGATATGCTGAGGTTGGAGATTCCCAGGTGAAGCCAAGCTGTGAATCTTGGCTGGCTGCTGCTAGTGCCTGGCCTGAGGTTCACTGAAGCCAGCTGTTGCTTGTTTGATAGGACTTAGGAAGTCATGAAGCATGAGCCAAGACCATTCATTCCTGTGGAAAAACAGCTTGAGTGGACCCATAAATTGCTTGGGATGGACTCTCTGGGGATCTCCAAGGTGGGTCAAACAGTGTTAACCAGGTTGATGGAGTCTCAGATACGGTACCAGCTTGCTGACTCTGTGAGGGGATGGTTTAGAAAAGGGACAATTGCCCTGCTTGCCTTGATGCCAAACACTTCAGTTTCTCCCTGTATACCACTGGTGCCTTTCAAGCTGCTTCCCCAGTGCTGGAGCTCAGAGGGAGTGAGTCTAAGTAGGCGAGTCCATGTGTGAGCTCTTAAAAGAGGAAATGCTTGGGGCGCCAAAAGTTTCTTCCACCAACTCAATCCCTGCTGGTTTTTGCAGTCAGAAGTTGTGCGGACTTACCTTCCTTGCACTGGAACCCTCAGCTGGGGAGCCTGGTGTGGGCCTGGGACTCCTCACTCCTGAGGTATCCCTCCCAAATTTTTATCCACATGAGTGTGGGACCAGCCTATTCCACGTTCACGCATCTCCTACCAGTCCGGATGGATGTGGTTACTTTAATTCCACAGTTGTCAGGCTTCCCTTCAACTTCATTTATGACATTCCTGAGTGATGGTTATTCTGTATTTTAGTTGTAATTTTGATGTGGTTGTGCAAAGAGGTGAGCCATGTCTGCCTATGGTACCATCTTAACCGAAGTCAAACTTCATCATCTTAGAAAGTGCAGGTTAGTTTCCTTCTTGGACTCCCTGCCTCCACCTGACCCCTTTCTTTCTTACCTGATATTTACCCCAGTTTCCAGAGTAATAGTTCTAACAAACACACCTGACCTTGTTGCTTAAGAAATCCTTCCAGGTGTAATGTAGCCATCAAAAATGAAGGACAGCTCTTTAAATAATCATGTGGGACAATCTACAAGATGAATTTGTAAGTGAAATAAGCAAAGTGCAGAACAATATGAATATTATGCTACTACTTGAATTAAAATAGGTTTCTGTATCTGCTTATGTGTATACATGTGTGTATACAGATGAAATAGTTCTGAAACGACACTCAAGTCTGCTAATTGTGACTGCCTCCAAGGAGGAGGCAGAGTGACCGGGAGACAAAAGCAGGAGAGAGACTTACTTTTCACTCTACACCCTTTAGTACCTTTTAAATTTTACACCATGTACACGCATTACCTAGTCAAAGGATAAATAAGAAAAAATATTTTAAATAAGAAAAATGGAAAAAAAATAAAACTCTTTGCCCCATAAAAAAAATAACCAACTTTCAGGGTTTTCCTATTACCCATGGTTTAAAGTCAAACTCAAAGCCTTGTGTGATTTGACTCCAGGTTCATCCTTCCCTGCCTCCACCCAAAAGCACTAGCAATTTCCCCAAACACTCCAGTCTCACTCTTTTGGCCCTTGGCATGAGCACAGGCTGAGCCCCTATCCATGGACTGCCACCTGGCCCTTCCCCAGAGAATTCCTCAGCCTTCAAGAGGCTTCCCTGACCCACAAGTAGTGGAGGTTAGGGCCCTTAGATCCATGTTCTCCCAACCTCTGCTCCCACCCCCAGCCTATGTGTCTCCCATCACAGTAAAGACGTGGGTGTCTGAAACCCCCTAAAGTGTGACCTCACAAAGGAAGGAGATGTGGCACTAGCAGAAGAAAAGGCTGAAAAAGCCTCCAGGAATGAGAGCACAGCATACTGACTTGGTCCACTAGGTTCTGGGGAGCAATGAACAGGGAGGGGGAGCCATGGAAAGGGAGATGACATGGTAAGACTGGGCCATAAGAAACCATGGGACATATGTCCAGGTGAGAGAGGACTGGAAGTTTAGACTTGGGTTATAGGAATGGTAGAGGCAGACAGAAGCTGACAGCGCCTCAAGAGATTTAAGAGGAAGACGCTATGGGACTTGGTGACCAACTGTGTATGAGATCCCAGATACTAGTTGAAAGGAAGGAAAAATCAGGGATACCCAGCTTTGCAACTTGAACCACTAGGTGGCTGGACAGGCATATTAGTTTTCTGGGCTAAAAGCAGGCTGCGGAAGCTGGTTGAGAGAGCATGCCTCCTCCTCGGACCTGCATTGTTTAGCAAGGATGCAAACCATGCAAACCACCAGGTGTCCAGGGAGCCCACAGGGAACAAGTGAACAACCCTCAACTCCCCACCATTATAGGCAGACCTCCTAAGAATCAGGGAGAAGGGACGGACCACTTCCCAGAGCCCTAGATCGAGGAGAGGGTAGCCATGAAGAAAAGGGACAAGTACCTTACACACGGTGGTTTTATTTTCCAAAGCATCTACTATTTTCATCATCGGAGAATGGAGCCACTTGATCTCCATTTCGAGCGGATCCATGTCACCCAATAGCTCATCAGATTCTCCATTGGCCAAACCTTTAACACAACCAACACCACTGTCAGGGCCCTGGCTCCTCCCTGCTGCCAGCGTCCTGGTCAGGCCTCAGTGGAAAGGATATGTGGACACTGCCCAGGGGAGTCAAGGGGGAAGGTTCATTCCTGCTGGGAAGCCACAGGACAAAGGATTAAATGCATTGGTTTTACAGTAGGTCACCCGCCTGCTGGGAGCTGGTTTTGGAGCCTAAGCTTCCTCATCTGGAAAATGAAAATGCCACAAGCCCTATGACACAGGGCTGCTACGAGTCATAGCAGAGGACTGCCTGCAATGTGCTCACCTGACACGCTGCTCTGTAAATGACAACCACTGGTATGCCCTCTCCAGGACCAGGCCACTCTCTCCCTTCCTCTGGCACCTTGCCTGAAGCTGGCCTCCCTTGCAAACCGCAAATGTGTCCACTGTCTGGGCCCACATCACCCTCACATCTGCTTCTAAACTTCCTTTCCATTCCCTTCCCTGGGTTTTTTATCCCTAGTCACTCTTCCAGATCCAACAGTAGGGCCAATTCCTTTAGGAAACTCTCACTGGTAACCTCCTTCTCTTCTCAATTTCCCAGACTTCCATGTTTTGTCCAAGTCCATTCTCAGTGACACTGCCCCTCTTGCCCTCATATGCAGCCAGAGCCAAGAATCATTATAAGAATAGGAGCTGGAATTCCTCCCAACAGCCCCTTAATAGAAGAGGAAAGTAAAGTTCAGAAAGGGGAGGCTGACTTGCCAGAAGCCACTTGGGAAATAAACTCTAAAGAAGGCAAGTCCTCTTATCCTCATTTGTAATCCAAGGACACCAACAAGCCCGGAGAAGAAAAACCACTCGTCCTTAAGAAAAACAGAGAAGCTAAAAGGCAGGCCAGCCACAGCTTTCTCTACTACCCCAGAGTGCCCACAGACAGGCCCAGAGAGCACCGGGTACCTTTCTTGGGTAGGGTAGAGAAGGAAGGAGGAGCCATAAGCCAGGGCTGCAGATGGTAGTATCTGAAGAGAACAAACTTTCTTATAGAGTTTTTGAAAGCCACATGGCTCAGTAACAGCTAATATTTACCAAGAAAGTACTATATATATGCCAGGCACTGTTCTAAGTGTTTTTACTAATTAAACAATGGGTAGATGTTACTGTCCCCATTTTACAAATTATGTCATTGAGACATGAAGCAAAATAACCTGTGTAGTAGCATCACGCATCACACACCTAATAAGAAACAAAACTTAGATTTGAATCCAGTCAGTCCCTCCTTTTAACCACTGAGCTACTCTGAGCTGGCAGAATCTTTGACAACAGGGCAGGAGAACTGGTTTGAAGGTCACCTCTGCCTGCCACTGACTATGCACCAATCAGTAAATATCACCTTTCTGTGACTCAGATGCCTCACCCGGAGATGGAGGTGAGAATGAAAATCTAGGAATGGACATGCAGTGGCTAAGGCAAGGCCTAGGGCAGCATGAGAAGGGATTTTTGAGAGAAGACTCTCAGTCCACTCCAGGTCCCGAGAGACAGGGAAAGGAAGCTTGCATTTCCTGGACAACTCACTCTGTACACAGTACTGTGTTCATTTTCTTCCCTATATACCAAGAGCTCACAACCACCCCCATGACCCAAATAAGAATTCTCCACCCTATGGGTGAAAGCATTAAGCCTGGAGCTGGTTAAACAATTTTGTCAAAGCCAGAGTAGGGCCAGGGAAAGGGGAGGTCAAATATGGAATTTGTTGTCAGGCACATGTGGCTCCACTAGGGCAAGACCAAGTGCTGCACAGGCCAGCCCAGTCGCGCTCACTTACATTCCATGGTGTCTTCGTTGGCCTGCTCTGTATCCTCAATGTCGAAGACTTCAGTCATCTCCTTAACAATCTCAGCACTAAGATGGGTGGGCAGAGTGTGGGTGGCTGGTGGGAGTGTATAGAAGCTGATCTTCCCACTGCATCGGGAGGTGGGAGGAAATTGGTAGTGATGTCATTAAAAGAGCAAATCACCAATCAAAGAGAATGAGTTCCCAAGTCAGAAACAGTGAGGGACAAGAACCAAACCTGGCCAGTGGCTTCTGAACAAGAAGTTGAGTTGTTGGTTAATCCCTGACCCACAGTGCTACAACTCAGTCCACTTCGTGGAGTCTCACCCCTCCCCCTCCCCCTCCTCACCTCACCCAATCAGCCAGGACAGCTTTGGCTGCTTCCTCCTGGCTGTATATGCCTCCTTTCTTCTTCTTCCCCAAGCGCTGGGCCACCGCAGTCAGAAAGTGCTCAGTGGTCTGGAACCCAGAGACACCATAATAGTTGGAAATCTGGTGGAGAGAGAAAGGAAAGAAATCATGAATGAGAACAAAAGGCCCTTGGAGTCGGGTAGGGCATGAGCAAGAGCCCTGCGCACCTCCTCCAGGTTGCAACGTTGCAGGATGGTCTCCACCGGGGTCACAGGGTCCGCCAGCTTCTGCACCTGGATGCAGTTGCGCAGAATGGTGCCCACCTCTGAGTTGGGTCCTGGGACAATGCCTGGCGCATCCAGCAGCCTGATGAACTTGTCCAGGTAGACTTCCTGCATGAACCTGGACAAGAGAGAAGAGATTAACAGAAGATGCAGGACACTGATGAGTCCAGATGTGTCTGGCATCCTCTAGACTCCAGAGGGTCTAGGTATGAGAAGCGGATGGCGTACAATAAAGGTGGAGAGAAGTGGGGCCAGAGCCTCCGGGTTCCTACAGATCTGAGACTGAGTCTAGTTTAGCTCCTGGCACTGGGGACTGAACTAGAGGACCATGGGTCAGCTTTTGACTCAGCCTCAGTTGCTTCACCTAGGAAGTGAAGCTGCTTATTCATAGCCCGTTCTTGCGTGACTGTTATATTAGGAGGCTTCAAGGAGATAACAGGGGAGGGGGCCACACAGCTGGGTGCGCAGACCACAGCTAGGGTGTACCAGGTAAATATGGGCTATTAATGAGGCTCCCATGCCCAGGGAAGAATCAGACGCTGCTCCAAGATAAAGAAAGGGACAAGGGCTGAAGGCATGAGAGTAGGGGGCATGATAAAGTCAGTGGAAGTGGTGGAGTAAGTAGGTGCTTACTTGGTGACCCCAGGAACGGCTCCCACGCTGCAAGCACGGCTACGTTTCAAACTATTGATCAGGCTGCTCTTCCCAACATTAGGAAGGCCTACAAAAGAGTGGCAGATGGTTCAGCACAGTTAGGGCCCTTGGAAACATCTGGGCCAGCCTGTGTGTGGGAAGCCCAGGCAGGGGCGATGACCAGGACACAAGGAAGCCAAAATCAGAGCCTGGTCTCTTACCTTCCCACCCTCCGCCCTGAGCAACTCCCTACATGGCCTTTTTACCCCTCCTCTCCATTTATAAACACACTGGGTCAATGTGTGTCTCTCTCCAGAAGTGACACTCCCGTCCCACTTATAACAAGTCTGGGAAAGGTGCTCAATGCAAAGCCTTTGTTACATGATCCAACAGAGGTTGCACATAGAGAACTGTCCATGAAACAGAAAACTGTCTGTACTGGTGTGTAATTAACTGGGGTGGGCTGTCTGCTTGCGGTGTTTTCCTGTTTGGGCATCTGTGAGCGCCTCTGGGCCTGTGGATGTCTTTGTGTTTCTCCCTCCCTGGGTCTCACATTATCATAATCCTCATTCTGTGTCCTAGAAGTTACACATCTACTGCTCTTTCACAGATGTGCCTGCATACACATGTGTGTGTATGGAAGCCTCTATACACGTTGCCCTCTCCCACTCCCTCTCCATGTGTGCATGCACGTGCACATGCACCTTATTTGTTCTCATCCTAAATATCTGCTTTTTCCAATTTTTTACTTTTCTACTCAGTCTTTCTCTCTATCACAACTCTGTATATCTCTGTATCTAAGCATCTTTCTTTGCTGGTTTGTCTCACTGTCTCTCATTGTAGCCATTGTCCTTTCTCTTTTCCTCCCCACCCCACCAATTCTGCCTCTCTTTGTAATTCCTTCTATGTCAACTCTGCTCACGTTTATTCTCTCAGTGTCTCTCTTCACCGTATGCTCTTCTGTACCTATTTCATTGTCTTTCTCTCTCCCTGTATCTCCCAAACCCACTCCCTACTTACCTCCTCTCACCCTCTCTTCTCTATGCATATTTATCTATCTCATCATAGACATGTCTGTATATTTGTCTCTGTGAATCTGGGTGTGTGGCTGTGTCTGAGGGCCTAGTATATCTGGGCACGTGTGTCTCTCTTTGGTTTTACTTGCTTGAACGAAGCAGAGTTAGTGTGAGTGTTTAGGAAGGGCCTGGTTTCCATGTGTTTTGCCCCTGGGTCTGTCTCCAGAGGTGCCTCCTCTGGGTCTACTTGTATACATGTCTTTACACATGTGCACTTGTGTTTATGGATCTGTTTGTGTGCATGGGCCTGTGTGTTCTTCCATGTGTCCATCTTTGTCCCTGCTTCTATGTATGTCTCTAAATCTGTCTATCTCTATGTTTGTCTCTCATTCTTTCTTTGGGTATGTATAGGTGTCTGCCTCTCCATATACATGGGGTGTCTTTAGCCCACTTCTGTCTCTCCTTGCAGGATTCCATGCACATCTGTCTGTATATCCATTTGGTAGTTCTTTCTGATCATACCTCTCTGCTCTGTCTCTCTGCATGCCTCTGTCATTTAAATCTGTCTCCCCTTTCCACTGGCCACCAACCCCACCACTTGGCTTCCCAATTCCTTCTCTGTGCCTATTCAAGTATATATATATATATACCTTTTTCGTTTCTTTTTTTTTAAAGATTTTATTTATTTTCAAACAGAGGGGAAGTGAGGAAGAAAGAGGGGGAGAGAAACATCAATGTGTGGTTGCCCCTTGTGCTCCCCCTACTGGGTACCTGGCCTGCAACCCAGGCATGAGCCCTGACTGGGAATCAAACCAGCAACTCTGGTTCACGGCCCGGCACTCAATCCACTGAGCCACACCAGGCATACTTTTCTCAATGTCTAGCTTTCTTTCTTGACTTCACTTCCTCTCCCTGATGATCTACCTCTGTCTCTCTCCATTCCCCTATTCCAAACTTACCATCCTTCCCTCAGTGCCCTAGGATCCATACAGGCCCAGGTTTGAGGCTCAGCTCTGCACTGTCACACAGAGCTGAGTCCTTCAAATCCCTTTCCCATTTATGGGCCATAATGTTCTCATCTGTAAAAGGGAAATGTTCACCACTCCTTCCCACAGCTCTGGTAGGATAAGATGGTGTCAACTCCAAGCCTAGCCCTGTGCACTTGGTCCATGGTTCTAAAACTCAGTGCACAGTAGTAATTCTGAGTGTTCTTGTACCCCGACTCAAATTACAAATCATGAAATACTTCCTGAACTGCTTCTCTCTTCCCCAAAAAAGGTGCCGTGAAGCTCCCAGGATCCTTTCCCCCAATGAAGCACCTTGCCAAGGAAGAGCCTAGGCCCTATGACCTGCCCCCAGGTGCCTTACCCACAACACCAACACGGATGTGGGTGCGCACTTCACCAAGGCGGCAATAGTTCCCCAGAACCCTCATGAGGTTTTCAGCTCCAAAGCAGGCTTTGCTCTTCAGCAGTGACTCAGAGGCCTGCTCCACTGGCACACTGCAACGATTCTAGAAAAGGAGGGATATTACAGAAAAGGCATCAGGTGGGAAATGTGGTCTGAGCCTAGATATTCAACTTTCAGAGAAAATTTCAGGGTTTGCCTGTGATCATCGAGATCCCCAGCCCAAAGTGGAAGACTTCTCACCCAGGCTCTGGACACCTGCCATTTCTCTGCTACCCTCAGAGACCCGTAAGTTCTATTTTTCCACTGTTTTCTTTGTCCCTGCCTCTGTCTCCACACATCTCTTGCTTCCCTCAGCAGGGACAGGATGGCATCCTAGCCTCAAGACAGGCCAGACTGAACTTCCAACTCTTCCTCTTACAGGTGTGTGCCCAGCAAATCCTCCTTCCCTTCTCAGGGCCTTGGTGCCCTTGTCTGCACAGCAAGGATGGCTGTCATCCCTGCCGGCAAAGGGCAAAAGGCCATTCCAGCCTCCATCTCTTTATTCCTGATGCCATCTCCTCTGTCCAGAATGCCCTTCCATCTCTCTCCTTCCTTACTTACCCACCATACCACTGCAAAATACAAGTTAACCTATATATCCATCAACAAGAAACAGGTTAATGAGATATGTCTTTAAAGTGGAAAACTACGAAAAGAAACCTGATAGCAAAGGATTCTTACATTTTTGCCAAAAAGTCTAAAAAATTTTAATGAGATATCATGTGCCTTCCAGATTAGCAAAGATTAAAATGTTTAATGATATCAAATGTTGGCAAGCATAGAGGGAAATAAGCCCTCTCTCACACTCATCTACACCACTGGCAGGAAGATAAATGGTACAGCCATTTGTGGGGGGTGCAATTTGTTTGTGTTAAGGAAATATAAAATGCATAAAACCTATGACCCAGGCTCTCTACCTCTCAAGACCTAACCTATACAAACATGTACAAGGGTGTGTGTTGAAGTACTGGTTATAACAATAAAAAACTGGAATTAATTTTATTGAGCATCAAAAGGTAGATCTCTATAAAAAGACCTCCAAGAAAAAAAATAAAAAGCAAGCTGCAGGATGACACATATGATAGCCACAAACTTTATTTTCCCTTTATATATACTTCCCTGTATATATAAAGTACAGAAAAATATCTGGATCCTTCCATACTGATAATGGTTACTTCTGGTTATATATGGATAAAGGAGACTGAAGTTAGGGGTACTGGTGAAAGGGTATTTAAGCTTTATCTATAATTGTTTTTATTTTTTCTGCTTTATTTTTTAATCAGTAAGTTTTACACCTGGTACAAAATTGAAAAAATGTCCCCAGCACCCAGTTTCTCTCCCTAGAAACTACCAATGTTTCAGTGTACTTTAATATTTTACAATAAAAATGTATTTGTGTTAATGATACAATTAGAAAGTAGTGTGATGTTTTAAAGAGAAAAACAAATAATCGTATATTTTAAAATTTAACAAAATTAACAAAAATAACAAAATTATATTTTCCAATTTTTATTGCCCAATTTTTGAGATGTATGCCTTACATCTCAAAAAAAAAAATGCCCCCCAAGAGTAATAACATAGAAAAAATTAAAATTAAAATTAAAAAATAAAAATAAAAAGAGTAATAATATAGGAAGGAATGGAATGAAACTAATATTAAGTCATGCAGTAAAGCAAAAAGCTCAAAGTTGAAGGCCCAATTCAATTACCAAAGAGCTGGAGACCACAGGCCAACTCATGATTCCCCATCCCTGGCCCCAGACTACCCTGAAAGAATCTAGATGCCCCTTGGGCCCAGCTTACCAGGTTTTTGACCTGATGCTGAGTGCTAGCCTTGAAAGCCACAGTTGGCAGCTCATTCCGAAGGTAATCCAGCCACTTCTCTACTATCTTCTTGGGGACCAGGTCTGGAGAAAATGGGAACAGATAGAACTGGTAAGGAGAACATGACCTTGATGGCTCACTCCAAAGAGACATCTACTCATACCCAAGGCTAGGCCCACCTCCTGACAACAGATATCTCCCTGGCCCTCACACTCCCTGTCCAGTCCCAACGTTAGAGTTAGAAAGGACATTCTATTCTAGGGGACCAGCTGGCCCTTCTAGACAGGACCTCTATTCCCTCAAGGAGTATGGGAAAACTAGTTGTTTGGTCCCAGATGCCTTCGTTCCAAACCAGGGTGCCAGAGGCCTCCCAAAGATCGTGCTTCCCATCCCCTCTCTGGATCATTCTAGTATGGACCAAATGGCAAGAATAACATGGACAAAAATGACTACCATTTGTGAGGTACTGGCCGCACATATACCAAGCACTTTATTTTTAATTTTCACAACAACCTTGTGAGGTTAGGACAATCACAGCCCATTTTACAGCTACAGAAATGGAAGCTCTCAGGTGATATGACTTGTCCAAGATCACAGACAAAATAGGTCAACTGTGATGAGACCCAGACCTGAATAACTCCTGAGCCCATGCCCTAATCCTTGGGTTCCAGCTTAGAGAAGACAGAAACTCTCCAGGGTTGGACAGTCAAATGGCTCAAAATGGCAAGAAGGGGGACTCAAAGGCACAAAGGCTTGGCCTCCATTCCCAATTTCTACTACACTCTGCATGTCTTTAGACAAATGATTCTGCCTCCCAGATTCCTGGCTTTAAAAACTGGAACAAGCCCCAGCTGGTGTGACTCAGTGGATTGAGTGCCAACCTGTGAACCAAAGGGTCACCAGTTCTATTCCCAGTCAGGGCACATGCCTGGGTTGCGGGCCAGGTCCCTAGCTGGGGGCTGGGGGGAGTGTGAGAGGCAACCAATCCATGTTTTTCTTGCACATCTATGTTTCTCTTCCTCCCTTCCCCTTTCTTTAAAAATAAGCAAATAAAATCTTTTTTTTTTTAAAAACTGGAACAAGAATTCAACCTTGCACAACTGTTAGAAATACCAGTGAGTTGCTGGGTCTTGGGATCTGGTCTGAGCTAATCTTTCAAGGCCTGGCCCCTGCCCTGCCTTACCCAATCCTTCTCAGTACCCACCAATCTTGTTCAAGACCAGGACCAGCTTCTTGCTGCCTTCTGCCCGCAGCACAGCCTCCTCCATCTGGAAGCAGCGACAACCCAATGGGTCCCTGGCATCCAGAACTTCCAGAATCACATCAGAGTATTCCACCACCTGCAGGGCAGAGGACAAGGGATGAAGGCAGAGAAAGGATTGGGCAGCAATCACACACGTCTGTGAAAGAAAAGGTATCCATCTCAGGAGAAACAGAAATGGAGAAGAGACTAGATTGGTGGCCTCCCTAAAGGGCCTTAAGAAATGAGTTCCTGCCCCTCTCCTTCTGTACTGTCTGGCCCAGGCTGCTTCGTTACACCAGCTGCCCCCAACCCGCCACCCGCCAACCACAGCCCAAATGGACAACGCTCCAAGCATCCCTGACCTATGCCACCGGATAACTGGTAGGCCGACAAGAGAGTGGCCATGCCCAGCTGGCAGCGCAGGGGTCCGACAAGACAGCGGCCATGCCCAGCTAGCAGTGCAGGGGTTAAGTGGCCGATTGCTGGAGATTCGGGAGCCAACTGCTGTGCACAGCCTCCCACTGGCCTGGGCCAGCCTGTCAGAACCAGGGCTTCTGCTGAGCCATGCCCAAGTTAGGCTCTCTCAGCAGGAAATAATGAAGGGAGGAGACACCAGACAACTCAACAGAGAGGACGCCAGCAGAAGGGAGGACTCCATCATCACCAATGGCAGCTGCAGCGACCAGTCTTCTGACTCCAAGGACACACCCTCGCCCCCAATGCTGAAGGCTCTCAGCATCCCAGAGTTGAGAGGCCACAGATCAAGTTCACAGCTGTCCAAGAGGGAGGTCTCCAGCCTACTAAGTTATACTCAGGCTCTAATGGTTGATGGAGATGAAGGGGAACATGGAGACAGTTGCACCACACCAGTGATACCAAAACTCTTCTGTGAAACCAGGACTCAGTCTGAAAGCCCAGCTACTTTACCCAAAGTAACACCAGTACCTCTAGCCAAGGGAGGCACAGGCCCTCCCTATATCCCATCAGAGGCTGGCAGGGCTGCAATCACATCACGTGGCAGAGTCCCTGTCGGAATTCTCAGCTACCAGGTCCCTGAGGCGGTAGGCAGCATCCTCAGTAGGCACACCATGGCTATCCCCTGACAGACCCTACCTCACAGTGTACTGCACCAAAGCAGCAGTACCCCTTACACCTGCCTGGCCCAGGACAGCCAGCAGGGGAACTTGGACTTCCCACAGGTGGATGCAGAGGGCAAAGATATACATGGTACCAAGTATTGGGATGGGAAGGAGTTTGGAATAGGGGACCTCGTATGGGGAAAGATCAAGCACTTCTCCTGGTGGTCTTCCATGGTGGTGTCTCAAAAGGCCACCTCCAAGCACCAGGCCATGCCCGGCATGTGGTGCGTCTAGAGGTTTGGTGATGGCAAGTTCTCCAATGCCTCTGCAGATAAGCTGGTGGCCTTGACACTTTAATTCACCCAGCACTTTAATCTGGCAACCTTCAACAAGCTGGTCTCTTAAAGGATCTGCAGAAAGGCAGGGTGTGGGCTGGCAAAGCCTTCCAAACAGCACCAGAGACTTTGGTTCAGTCGGACTGTTGAGTGCAGAGTCGCAGCCAGATAGTAGATTCCTAGCTAAAGACGGCAGAGAGTAGACTAGAGACACTTGAGACACTGGAGACGGAGGCTTTGGGGAGAAAACAGAGAGTAGCCAGCGGGATCCATGTGCTTAATCTTCTCCTATATGGGAGCAGCCATCTTGCTCAGGCAGACCACTCCCCTGAGGACACAATAATGCCACCCCAGGAGGGACTCTGCCCCACCCTGTGCTGTCTAAGCCTGACTGCTGAGTGCAGCATGACTAGGTAAACAGCTTAAGGAGACAGCCACAGTCAGTAGATTCCTGGAAGTCTTGAACAGACTGCCTAAGGTCAGACTGGGTCAACATCTGACATAATCAGAGGCAGATCCAGAAAGAAAAAACAGCGGTCTCATACCATAGACATTCACACCACAAAATCAGGAAATCAGGACAGATCAATTTAAGAAGCAGGAGCAAAAAAAGAAGAGTCTCACAAATAATGGGAAGACAAAGAAACATCCCCCAGTCGAAGGGAAAGGAGGACTCCCCAAAAAGAGAACTAAATGAAACAGAGGCAAGTAAACTATCAGATATTGAGTTCCAAACAACGGTTCTAAGGCAGCTCAATGAGTTCAGTGAGTTCAGAGAGAATTACAAAAAACTACAGGGAAACTATGAGGAACTTACTGCAAACTATATCAGCATGAAAAAGGACACAGAAACTATCAATAAGAGACAAGAAGAAATGAATACAATTTCTAAATTGAAGAACACAGTAGAAGGAATCAAAAGCAGGCTAGATGAAGCAGAGGGTCGAATCAGCGCGCAGGAGGATAAGGTAGAAAAAAGCCCCCAGAAAGAGCAAGAAAATGAAAAAAGACTCAAAAAGAATGAAGAGGCGTTGAGGGAAATGCAGGACAACCTGAAACCTAATAATATCCATATAATAGGGATACCAGAAGGAGAAGAGGATGAGGAAGGAACAGAGAACCTGTTTGAAAAATGATGGAAAACTTCCCTAATTGGAGGAGAGAAAAAGTCACACCAGTCCAGGAAGCACAGAGGGTCCCACTCAAGAGGAACCCAAGGAGGCCCACTCCAAGACACATCATCATGAAAATGGCAAATATCAAAGACAAAAAGAGAATCCTCAAGGCAGCAAGGAAGAAAGAGGTAGTAACTTATAAGGGAGCCCCAATATGGCTAGCAGCTGACTTCTCAACAGGAAAACTGCAAACCAAAAGGGAGTGGCAAGAAATATTCCAAGTCATGAAAAGCAAAGGCCTGCAACCAAGACTGCTCTACCCAGCAAGGCTCTCCATTAAAATGGAAGGCAAAATAAGGAGTTTCCCAGACAAAAGAAGGCTAAATGAGTACATCTCCCCCAAACCAGCACTGCAAGATATGCTAAAGGGACTGCTCTAAGATGAAGAAAGAGTCTATGAATACCCAGTTCCTTTCAGTCACCAGTTGATATTACCAATATTTTTAATACTTATTAATCTGATTGTGACAATGATGTTATTTTAATTGTTACTTATTTGTTGAAACTAAACCTGTTTTTGTACATTTCCTGCCTATTTATGCTACTTTTAAAAAGCTTTAAATGACTTTTTGGTACCCTTTATCCATTTTTTGATTAAAGGTTTGTAGAATCTTTTCCCAAAAAACAAAACAAAAAACAAACTATTAACCCTTTTTCAGATGTGTTGCAAATACTTTCCTATTCTATTACTTGTCCTTTATCAGTATATTACTGTATAGTCTCCAATGTTTAATGTAGTCATATTGTCAATATCTTATTTTATATCTTCTGGGTTTGAATATTTACTTCAGGGTAAGAAAAACATTTTTGTGTATTTTCTCCTAAAACTCCTTAGATTTTACATATTTTTAAATATTTTTAAAAAATATATTGTACAATGTGTGAAATAGGGCTCTATATTTGTTTTAAGTAATAGTGGTCCATCTATTGCTTATACACCTTATTTGTTGAATAAGCCTTATTTTCCCCATTGATTTGAAATATCAATTTAATCATATATTACACTGTTAGAGAGGTATATACGTTTGTTTCTAGTATACTCATTTTATTTCATTGATCTACTTGATTATTTCTGTGCTGGTGTCATGTTGGTTTAATTGCTGAGACTTTATGATGGGTTTAAATTTTTTAACATTTTATAATGGGTTTTGACATTTAAAATAAATACATAAATAAATAAAATCTGTGTTTAAAAAAAAGAAAGAAAGAAGAACTCCTACCTTTTGGGGCAACACGGATGGAACTGGAGAATATTATGCTAAGTGAAATAAGCCAGCTGATGAAAGACAAATACCATATGATCTCACCTATAAGTGGAATCTATTCAACAAAATAAACGAATGAACAAAATACCACAGGCATTGAAGCATGGAGCAGACTGAAAGTGACCAGAGGGGATGGGGAAGGAGGACAATGGTGGGAAGGAGAAGGGATTAGACGAACAACACGTATGAATGACCCAGGGACATGGACAAAAGAGTGGAAATTGACTGTGGGAGTGGGGGGTGGGGTGGGATGGGTAGAGGAGGGCAAAGGGGGAAAAACAGACAATTGTAATAGAATAAACACAATTTTTTTAAAAAAGGAATGGCAAAGACCGAGGAAAGGAGGACCAGAGTTGAGAGCAAATGGCTTTGGATGTTGCCAACAATAAGAATAGTCTGGAAGACAGTTGTTTGTCCTGTGGTAAAAAAAAAAAGAACAAAAAACTCCTGTGTCCTTCCATCCTCTCTTTCAGGGTGGGCTCTGCCAGACATGCCAGGACTGGTTCCTCGAGCTGTTCTACATGTATGACAACACTGGCTATCAGTAGTACTTACTGCACTTTGTGTTGTGAGGGCCGCAAGCTGCTCCTTTGTGAGCAACCTGAGCTGCTGCCAGTGCTTCTGTTTGTAGTGCCTGGAGGTGCTCTGGGACACAGGCACAGCAGCAGATGCTAAGTTTCAGGAGCCCTGAGTTGCTACATGTGCCCTCCTCAGTGCTGTCACAGGGTCTTGCAGTGCTAGGAGGACAGGAATGTGTACCTGCAGTCCTTCTTCACCAGCAACATAGGTCTCAAATACAAAGCCCCAAGTTATACCCTGTGATTCATGCAGCCCGAAGGCAGCCCATTCGAATCTTGTCCCTGTCTGATGGAACTGCCATCGGGTACTTAGTGCTCAGAGAACTGGGCATCAAAGTAGAGAAGTACGTAAGCTCTGAAACGCGTGAAGAGTCCGCCATTGGCGCTGTTAAGCACAAGGGCAGTATCAAATATGTGAATGATGTCAGGAACATCACAAAGAAAAATATTGAAGAATGGAGCCCCTTTGATTTGGTGATTGGTGGAAGCCTATGTAATGATCTCTCAAATGTGAACCCTGCCAGGAAAGGCCTGTATGAGGGCACAGGCTGACTTTTCTTCAAGTTCTATCACCTGCTGAATTACTCATGCACCAAGGAGGGTGATGACTGGCACCTTTTCTGGATGTTTGAGAATGTGGTAGCCATAAAGGCTGGCAACAAGAGGGACATCTCTCAGTTCCTGGAGTGTAATCCAGTGATGATTGATGTCATCAAAGTGTCTGCTGCTCACTGGGCCTGATACTTCTGAGACAACCTGCCTGGGATGAACAGGCCCATGATAGCATCCAAGAATGATAAACTCAAGCTGCAGGACCGCTTGGAGTTCAATAGGACAGCAAAGCTAAGGGAAGTACAGGCAATAACCAAGTCAAACTCGATCAGACAGGGGAAAAAACAACTTTTCCCCGTTGTCATGAATGGCAAAGAAGATGTTCCGTGGCGCACAGTTAGAAAGAATCTTTAGCTTCTCTGTACACTACACAGACATGTCCAACATGGGCCGTGGTGCCCGCCAGAAGCTGCTCCGGAGGTCCCAGGGTGTGCCTGTCATCTGACACCTCTTCACCCCTCTAAAGGACTACTTTGCCTGTGAACAGTGTGCTGCAGGCAATGTGGAGCACCTGGGTGTGTGGAGCAGAGCCAGAAGCCAGGAGATGCATCCCAGGTTCTGCCGTTCCTCAGCTCAGCTGTGTGGGGTAACACCATGTACCTCACCAGAACCACCTGACACCCTCCTGGCAGGGTGGCAGGGGGAGCCCAAGTTGCCACCTTCTTGCGCACAATTCTTGCACACCTTTGCTGCTTGAAATGGCCAAACACAGTGCTTATTTTGTCTTCTAAAACGTTTAAACTTGAAGTAGTTAGTAAAGATGGTTTTTTCCCTACTTCTGGGTTTACCGGTCAGTAACGATGGCTAATATACCAAAACCACAGTGCAGACAGCTCTCCAATGCTCAGGTTAAGGCTGAAAGTCACCCAAGACAGTTACTGGAAGACTTTTTTTTTTTTTTTAAACATCTGTCGCAACTTGTTTCCACGAGTGTGCAGTGGTAGACATGTAGCTAAGGGACATTTTAAGGAGCCAGGATGCTTTTTATCTAGAGCAGAAGAGGAAATGATGTCTCTGTCGTACTTAAATTTTACCCAGCATGTTCTCCTGGCCCCAGTATAAAGGGCTGGGATTCACTGTTGGGGGCCCATTGAGAATATTTTCCACACTATTGATGATTTCAGCAGGGATGACCTTATCCTCACATTCAGGGCTATTTCTTCCCACAGACCCAAAGGCAGGGCCAACCTTAGCTAAATCTCTCCCAGTGACTGCAAAAGAACCCTCCTGGAAGCTCAGGAAGGGGGATGGGTTGGGTTATAAGCTGACATATATTATGTATGCAGGTATGGCTTCTTGCTATCTCTTCCCCATGTGAGGGGACCAAAGGGAGGTTTTAGGTAAGGACCCTCTCACCAAATGCACCCTCCAAACTTCTGCAGACACAGTCCCCCAGATTAGAAGTATGACCCTACTTCCTCAGCCTTCCTCTAAACTCAGAAGCAGTGACAGCCAGGGGCAGAAGCATATTCCTCGCACCTTCCCCTCATCTAGGAGATTGCAGGGGGGAAATAGCCATAAAAGCTTGACCCTCCCTCCAGAGATTTTAAAGTCTTTTTTTTAATTCCATGATAAATCGTTTTTACAGATAGCAGGAGGTCAAACAAGCTGTATTTCAGAAATGCCATTGTAATGGTTTTTAATACCTTTTGACCGTCTTACTGGTATTATTTTGTAGAATAAAGCACAGTTTTGACAGGTCTTGTGGGAATTTTTTAATACACTTTTAAAAAAATCTGACTTCTATTTTTGTTTTACCGTTTTCATAAAAAAAAAATTTTTTTTTGTAACTGGAGCCACATAACAAGAATGGGAAAAATTGTGCCTTGTTTCAATAGTTTTCCTCATTTTTAGGCTGAAAGATGCCTAGAGTTTACTTTATGTTAAATTAAAATCAGCCCTGGCTGGCGTGGTCCAGTGTACTGAGCACGGGCCTGCAAACCAAAGGGTCACTGGTTCGATTCCCAGTCAGGGCACATGCCTGGGTTGTGGTCCAGGTCCCCAGCAGGGGACATGCAAGAGGCAACCACACATTGATGTTTCTCTCCCACTCTTTCTCCCTCCCTTCCCCTCTCTCTAAAAATAAATAAATAAAATCTTTAAACAAATTAAAATCAGTATTTCTCTTCCAAAAAATGGGTCCCCATACCTTACGGAACTCCTTGTAATAAGCCTTCCTTGTGGACTCATCATCCAGCTGAGGAAACATATTTAATTCCTGCAAAACTTGCTCCTAAAGGGGAAAAAAAAGAGAGAGAATGGTCGGGGGGTCGGGGGTGAGGGGGTGATGGGGGTGGGAATAGAGAGTGAGAACCAGGGCTTTGGAAACAAGTGAGGCTGGGGGAGCCATGTGAGTCATAGCTTACTGAAGAGTAGCTTTAACCAGTCAACGAAGCTGGGAACTAGGAGAAGAAACAGACCCACGTGGTGCCTATGCGTAAGTATGTGTTTCAGCACCAGATAGAGGCTTGAGTATTCACATGGGTGTGTTGGGGGGAATGTGAGAGGAAGGTGTGAGAAAAACAAGCTATGGTGGACACGGAATGGGGAAGGAAAAATATGTACTTTATGTTAGAAAAGGGACTATGAGTTGGAAAGTGCATATTCTATGAGACCAGAATGTGTGCCAAAAAGGCAACAGGCTGCCCTAGAAAGAGAGGACATCTCCCTCATGTATACACTCCTCTCTCAACCCTCCAGTCATACTCAGTCCCTCTCTCCTCCTTCCCCTAGTCCTACATCTCCCAACCCCCATTCGCAAATGCCCCCTTCCCCGCCCATCTTTGGGATCCAGCTTGGGAGAGAGGACCTATCCAGGGTTGTTCAGTCACAAAAAAGGCTCAGAATGGCCTTTACCTCCCTCTCATTCTCCCTTCCTCCCTCCGTTCTCACTGTTTTCCATCCTCTCTGCACTGATTCCCTACTTCCCCTCCAAACATCTCACACCCTTTCTCCTTCCTTTTCACAGAGCAATGGCAAAAGATGATCTTGAGCAAACCCATACCAGTCCTGCCTAGGGGCAAAGACTGCTCTCTTACCTTGCTCTCAAATTCCTCCTGGCGACGCAGGACATCTTGACAGTAGCTCTCAATGGTCCTGCGTCTGTATCTCTCCTGCTCCCGCGCAGCCTGCTGCTTCTCCCTCATCTCTTCAACCTAACAAGCAAACACACAGCAGCTGACTAGGTCTACAGCCTAAGGGAGGGTGGGGAAACCGAGAGTAACAGCAGGTGACAGAAGGGGGAAACAATGTGACATGGCACAGGAGGGAGGTGCAAGGATACTGGGACAAAACAAATATGACAGCAGGAGATAAAGGGTTTCAGAAAAAGAAAAAGACAAAGAGATGCAGGAAGGGAAAGAGGAGCATGGGAAGCTAAGCAAGAATGTATTCCTGGTAGAGGGAATCCCTAAAGACCAGAGGGGAAAGATAGCAAAGTTGTGGGATGCCCCACCATTTAGAGAGCATGGAGAGACTGGAAAAGAGGAAGGAGGTCATCTAGGAGAGTGAGATGACAAGGAAGTCAAAGTGAGAGTGTTTCAAGGAAAGCATATCTCAAATGCAGAGAATTCAGATCAGATGAGGTGAAAACTATCCACAAGTCTGATGGCAGAGAATGTTCTGACGAGACTGGACGTGGGAGGCATTTCAGAGGAGCCATGGGAACATAAGCCAGACAGCAACGGCCTGAGACGTGAGCAAACGCAGACACTAAATCAGTATCAAAGCACCCTCCCTTCCCCCTTCCACGACAGCCCCTACAATCCTAACCATTCTGGCCTTTGCTCTTCCATTTATCCCTCCTGTGGATCTGGCAGTCAACCAAGCCCTCTCTCTCTCCCATGGTAAAGGGCTTACCCTCTTCTTCTTTAATCCAGCCTCCCGGATGGCATGATCATTGGAGTGAACAAGCTGGGGAACAGAGGCCAACTTGGAGGCTGTTTTCTTCCCATTCTGCTTTGCAGGATGGTCACCACACAATAGCAAAAAAAAAAAAAAATCAAACAGAGTTAATGAACCCATGGAAATCACCTTTCCCAGGGGAGGTTAAAGCTTTCTCAGAAGTGTAGTTGTTGGGGGAAAGGAAGGAAAAGAGCAAGTAAAAAGAAGGACTCTGCCCCAGAGGTATGCCTATCTGGCTAGAGACACCAATCCCTCCCCTAGCCAGGCAGGGACTGACTGAAGAATCCCAAGAAATCGGCAGGGAGGTGCAAGGGGGAAGGTTTCCCAAGTAAAGACCAAGGGAAAAGCTAAGTAGTTCTTAAAGTGTGGTCCTTGGACCAGAACCAGCAGCAACACCTGGGAATTTGTTGGAAATACAAATTCTTGGATGCCACAACAAACCCACTAAATCAGAAACCTAAACGTAGGGCCCAGCAATCTGTGTTTTAACCAGCCCTCCAGGTAATTCTGGAGGGCTGGTTAAAGTACGAACTTTAACCATGCTAAAATTTGAGGACCACTGCTCTGGCTCCAGTCTTACTTGCCTATACCTTTCCTAGCAGGACCAGGAGATCCAGGAGCTAGGGCCAAAGATTATGTTTTGGCCTTTCTCCTCTCCACGAGTGACAGGGACTTAATCAGACAGACTCAAGTCCCAGTTGCACTACGCTGAACCTAGGAACTGTCTCATTAGAGCTCAGTTTCTTCATCTAACACATGGGACAGTGACAATCCCTACTAAGGTAAATCAAGCACAAAGTAGTATGTGGCTTGTGGTATAAACTTAATAAATGCTGCTGATTCTCTGCTGCAGTCACCCAGAGAGGGAAGAAAAGCCAGATCCTCTGAGCCCCATGTGATACTGTCTAGAGTCACCCAACACCTGTGGACCTCTTCTAGGTCAGGCAACGTGTTCCTGGCTTACCCCAACAATGGACACACCTTACCTGAAAGTGACGCCAACTTACCTTCTTGCAGCCTTTGGAACCTTTACCAGACTTTTTATTTTCTATTAAAAAAAAAAAAAAAACAGTGAGCCATCACTTACCTACCCAACATTTGTTGACACTTTAATCAAGGCCAGGCCACACTAGGGCCTACGGACACCTGACACCGTATCTTCTAGGCACAGGAGAAGATCAGCAGGGACACAGCACCAATACTGTTAGAGGAAATACTAGTTATAATGCTTGGGGCATCATTTCAATGCTAACTGAAATAATTCTCAAGTAATTCTGTGATGAGTGTGACCTAAACATCTGCTTATGACTCTTCTCTATCCCTCAACTTCTGGCAAAAGGCAACTTGACAATTCAGTACCAGGCTGAGGTGGGGGGGGGGTGCTGGCAGCATGGGAAGGGGATCTGTGGAATCCCAGCTGGCTACACCAGGTTAGATGCCCTCAGCAGACGGGGAGAAAACTGCCCCTTCCTGCCAACCCTACTCAGTCCATTGCCTCCAAAGGGACTTGCCCCATTCAGCTAAACTGTGGCCTCCCTTGGATATAAGAAAGAGAGAAGTCACTTTCCCTAGTCACACCTTAACAAAGCCTAGAACTTTAAGAGGCCTCTCCACCTTCGATGAGAAGTCCCATCTGTCATCCCCTTCACAGTTGGCGTCTAGGGAAGAATGGCTTTCCTGAATTCTAACTACTTGCAAGGGGGCTAAAGGAATTCCTAGAGGGGGAGATTCTGGAAGTTCAGGGTATAAACAGATACAGGAGTAGCCTGAGATTGCCAGAACAGGCTCCTCAGTTACATCGCGTGGTTCACACCAGAGTTAATGTAGGAAACAAGGCAATTTAAATACTACAGTAGCTCCCCCTTATCTGCAAGATATTCATTCCAAGAGTCCCCACAAATAGTACCACAAATAGTACCAAACCCTGTATATTATACTATGTTTTTTCCTATATATACATACCTTTTCACTTAAAGCAATCACTTTTGGGGTAATTATTAAGTAAAATAACGGTTACTTAAACACAAGCAGTGTGATACCAGGACAGTTATCTGATAACAGAGACAGCTACTAAGTGACAAATGGGAGGGGAGCGTCTACAGTGTGAATACTCTGGACAAAAGAATGACTCATGTCTCAGGTGGGACAAAACAGGATGGCACAAGATTTCACCATGCTACTCAGAATGGTGTGCAATTTAAAACTTGTGAATTGTTTATTTCTGGAATTTTCCATTATTATTTTCAGACTGCAGCTGACTGCAAGTAACTGAAACTGCAGAAAGAGAAACCGCGGATAAGAGAGGACTACTGAATTGTAAATTCTTAAGGAGATTCAAGATACTGCAAAGAAACTACGTGAGAAAAAGATTCCCAAAACCTGGTGTTGAATAAAAATCCAACAGATGTAGTAAAAACAGAACACCACTAACAATAAAATTAATAAGCTGGAAAACCAAGGGAAGTGCTTGCTTAAAATAGAAAAATATCCAAAAAATGCATATTATGAGTAAATTTTGAAAATGAAGAAGAGACGCAGGAGAGCTGTTATATAAATAACAGAAATTCCTAAAAGAGAAAAAGGTACAAATGGAGACGCATTTTTCAAAAATAATAGATAAAAGTTCCATGCTCATGTAGCACCAAGATTAGCACAAAAGACATATCCTAGGCATATTCTGGTGAAATTTTTTTTATTTATTTTGAGACTACATTTATTAAAAGCTGGTGACAGTGGGGAAAAAAAGGAAGGGTTTAGGAGAGAGAAAGTAACAGGAGAGAGCCTAGGAAGTGTTCTGCTTTGGATCTCTAGGAACATTATAGGAAAGGAGTGAGCCATGATGGGCTGCCATGGACTCACTGAGAAGTAAAAGTTACAGCAAAAGAAGTAAGCCAAGGTAGGGCTGCCGTCATCTTACTGAAGAGTCAGAGGAAAGGGGGCCTTTGAGACAATTTTGGGGGTAAGCCCAGGACGAGCTACCACTGCCTGCTGCTCACCTGATTGCAAGGAGAGAAAAGTAAAGATGCACGCCTGAGAAGGAAGAAAGGCATGGGCGTGCTCCAGAAGAGAGCCTAATTTAAATTTCTGAACTCCAAGGATAAAGAGAAAAACTTATAAACTTCCAAACAGAACAAATTTCCAGCAAAGTCAAGAAAAGTGAACAGCCTTCTCAAATCTACATCTCTGGAACACTGAAGACAGAAGAACAGCCATTACAAGTTCTGAGACAAGAGACTATGTTCCAAGCTAAATTCCTATACCTGACCAATAGATCATCTGACCAATAGTGAAGTTTAAAAGACATTTTCAGATGTGTGAAGATTACCACCTCTATTCCCTTTGTGGTAAAACTACTTGAGGAAGTATACTAGCAAAAATAAAAATTAAATCAGAAAAAGCATCTCAAGCTAAAGGAAATAAATAATGGTAGGGAGAAAATCTATAAAGTTTATCATTAAATCTTTAAAAAATGCCAGTAATGTAACTAAGAACTATGATACATATTAAGAAAGGATTTTTAAAATCCAGGAAGCATAGTGTAAGAAAATAGCTCAGAACTAAAATGCCAAATTATTTCAACAAAATCCAGGAATCAAACAATAGGGGTTGGAAAAGCCAAAGCACAAAAGCATGCTAAAAGTTTCACTTTGAAAGAGTAAGATAAAAATAATTATTATTTAACTAGGTAAATTGGTAGAGAAATTTAAGCTTAATTAAGTTTGCTATTAATATAAATGCAATAATAACCAACATAACTGTAATTACTGGTGGAGGATTTTTTAAAACTTGATCAATTTTTTAAAAGTAAATAAGGGAATAAGAAGAAACAAAAAATATATAAAAAATAAGGTGGTAGAAACTGGACCAAACACATCATAATGAAAGTGAGTGGTTCAAATTTCCCTGTAACAAAAAAAGAAAAAGAAAAAGAAAAAAGACCACCAAGTCTCCCTTTCTTCCAAAGTATTCACGTTGCAATGAAAAGAATGTGAGGTTTGGAATGAACCAGGTCTGGCCATTTTACTCAACAATTTCCATCTGCCTAACTTCCGCAGAAACTGAGAACTTGTGCTGGATACAGACACACAATGAAAGAAAATAATGAGTTGGCCAAAAAGTCCATTACATTTTCTCCATAAAACAAAAGATACATTTTTCATTTTCATCAATAACTTTATTGATTTGGATATTTTGAGTATGTTGGCTATCTCCTGCTATTGGCTTCTAGTGGGTAGAGGCCAGGGGTGCTGCTACATCTTCCACTGCCATTATCCCCATAGCAAAGACTTTTTTGGCATAAATGTCAATAGTACCAAAAAACTTCACAAACCACTTGTGATACATTAGATCAGTCACAGCATCTTCTCCATACACTGCACAAATCTTTTCTTTTCATTTCAGTTGCATTTTCACCTTTCTTGAAATAATAATGCATAACATGCCAACAAATGTTGCTTATGTTCTTCCATCTTCAATATTAAAATGACTGCACAAAAATTCACCAATTTTGATAAGTTTCTTTTTAAATGCACACTGATATGACAGCTGTCACAATACAACCTAACAAAATTGTTTTGAATGAAGGTAAAGACAACTAAGCACTAATACAGATGTAACAAACTTTTTGACCAACCCAATACATTACATAAAGAAAACATCTGCTTCAGAAGAGTAGGGAGAGAAGGGGAAGAAGAAAAGAGGAGAAGGGTGCAGTCCTCACTCACAGCATTGCAGCACCCAGGAGCCACTGTTAATTTGTGGGGTTTTTTAAAGATTTTATTTATTTTTAGAGAGAGGGGAAAGGAGGGAGAAAAGATGGAGAGAAACATCAATGTGAGAGGAAAAAGATTCCCTGGTTGCCTCTCATACGCGCCCCTGACCAGGGACTGTACCCACAACCCAGGCACGTGCCCTGACCGGGAATCAAACCCACGACCTTTCTCTTTGTGGGATGACGCCCAACCAACTGAGCCAAAGCAGTCAGGGCAATCTGCATTTTTTAACAGCTCAGACAGAAAACAGCTACCATTTTGTAGCAAGCCACACCTAGATTCCTATTCTAGCATAGTAACTGCCTAGCTATATGATCTGGAAGAATTTTCTCAAATCTCTGAGTTTCAGTGTCTCCATCTACCAACTCTGACATCAATCAATACTCAAAGACACAGGTCCCCATTCACCTGTCATCTCCCATACTCTTGCCCCATCACAGTACACTCAGCCTGGAACTGACTCCACCGCCAACATCCTCCTTCTGCCTCTGCTTGAAATTTCCCACTATACCTTCTGATTCACCATTGTCAAACCAAGACTATTTCTCCCTCTTGTTAAAAAAGTAAAATAGGAGAAAGCCAAGATGGCACCATAGGTAAACACGGCTCACCTCCTCACACAACCACATGAAAATTACAATTAAACTACAGAAAACCATTATTCAGAACCGCCAGAAATCGAGCTGAATGAAAGTCCTACAACTATGGAGTTAAAGAAAAACCACATGGAGACTGGTAGGAGGGGCGGAGATGCAGAACGGGCTGGTCCCACATCCACATGTGGCAGATGAAAATTGGGAGGGATATCTCAGGAGCAAGGAGTCCCAGCCCCACACCAGGCCCCCCAGCCAAGGGTTCCAGTGCCAGGAAGGTTAGTCCCCATAACTTCTGGCTGTGAAAATTAGTGGGAAATAAGGCTATGAAAAACAGAAACTGCTGGATTCCCAAGCAGTTCTTCTTAAAGAATCCACACACAGACTTACTTGGACTCATTCTCTCTGAGCTCCAGGGTGGGGGCAGCAGCTTGAAAGGCACCAGAGGTATACAAAGAGGAACTGAAGTATCTGGCATCAGGGCGAGAGCTGAGGGCCACTTTCTCCCAGACAGAAAGCTGGCAAAGGCCGCTATTCCTTTTCTGAGCCCCTAACCCCACAGACCCAGCAGGCAGGCAGGCAGGCGCCATATCTGAGACTCTATCAACCTGGCTCACACTGTTTGCCCCACCCTGGTGATTCCCTGAGGCCCAGGCCCACCCAAGCTGTTACCAGCAATTTTTCCATACAAATGCCTTATATTGGAACGTGATTCAGATTTGCCTAAATCCTCTCAAACAAGCAGCATCTGGCCTCAGGAAGCCCCATACCTCTTGCTAAGTAGCCCCAGGCCTGGCACTAGCAGCAGCTAGCCTTGGTTCACAGCTTGGCCTCTCATGGGCACCTCCAAGTCCAGCACAAGTAGCAGCCATCTGCAGATCGCTTTGTATCTTATGCCAGGTGGCCCTGGACAGAACACAAGTGGTGGCTGACCTTGGCCTGCACCTCCCAGCAAGTCCCAAGCCTGCACACTCAGTAGATAGCTACCAACCATGTTGAGCACCACTACCCAACCACCTCCACAAGCAACACACTCAAGGGATGGATTCAGCAGGTACTAGAGCCCTGCTGAGGTAAGCGCTGTTATGTGGAGTGGGTCCCCGCACAGCTGATCCTCCACCATGGTCAGAAGCTGGTGGTCACTGGTCATAGCCTGTCCTAGCAGCTGATTGGCCAGGATAAAACCCTCCCACTGACCTGCCAACAGCAATCAAGGTTCAACTACAAGAGGAGGGTGTACACAGCCCACACAGTGGGTGCATCTTGAATTCCCAGCTTGGGTGATAGTGGAGGAGGTGCCACTGGCCCCTACAGGACACCTACTACATTAGGCCACTCTACTAAGCCAAAGGGTGGTAGCAGCTCTACCTAACAAGTAGAAACAAACACAGGGAGGCTGCCAAAATGAGGAGACAAAGAAACATGGCCCAAAGAAAAGGACAGAATACAACTCCAGAAAAAGGTCTAAACAAAATGGAGACAAGCAATCTACTAGATGCAGAGTTCAAAACAGGTTATAAGGCGACTCAAAGAACTTAGAGGAAAAGCAGGTGAACTCACAGAGAACTTAGCAACAGCATAAAAAAAGAACATGGAAACCATAAAAAAGAACCAGTCAGAAATGAAGGATACATTAATTGAAATACAGAAAATCAGCAGCAGAGTAGATGAAGCCAAGAATCAAACAGGTGATTTGGAATAGAAGGAAGCAAACAACAACCAGTCAGTACAGCAAGAAGAAAAAAGAATCCAAAAAGTGAAGATTGTGTAAGGAGCCTCTGGGACGCCTTCAAGCATACCAACATTCACATCATGGGGATGCCAGAAGGAGAGAGAGCAAGAAATTGGAAATCTATTTTTAAAAAAATGAAAAAAAACTTCCCTGATTTGGTGAAGGAAATAGACATAAAAGTCCAGGAAGCAGAGTCTCAATCAAAATGAACCCAAAGAGGCCCACACCAAAACACATCATAATTAAAATGCCAGAGGTTAAAGATAAAGAATCTTAAAAGCAGCATGAGAAAAGCAGTTACCTCCCTACCAGGGAGCTCCCATAAGACTGTCAGCTGATTTCTCAGAAGAAACTTTGCAGGCTAGAAGGAATTGGCAAGAAATATTCAAAGTGATGAAAAGCAAGCACCTACAACTAAGATTACCTTTTATCTAATGAATACTATGAATATTCATTAAAGCTTAAAATTGGGAGAGAGGGAAGCTATCATTTAGAATTGAAGCACCGATAAAGAGTTTCCCAGACAAGAAAAAGCTAAAGGAGTTCATCACCACCAAACCATTATTATATGAAATGTTAAAGGATCTTCTTTAAGAAGATCAAAAATATGAACATATTATGGCAACAAATACATATCAACAACTGAACCTAAAAACAAAATAAACAAACAAGCAGAACACAAAGAGAATCACAGATAGAGAATGTCTGATGGCTGCCAGATGTGAGGGGGCTCAGAGGGATGGGCAAAAAAGAAAGGGAAAGAAAGGAAAAGAAACGAACAGAGACAAGAGGGAAGGGGGGGGCGGGGGGAAAAGGAAGGGAAGGGGAAAGTCAAGGAACATATAGCAAGGACTCATGGACAAAACCAAAAGGGAAGAGTTGAGGCAGGGAGGGAGGGAGGGAGGGGGCAAGGGAAAGTGGTGGGGGGAAGGCAGAGACAAATGTATTTGAAAAAATAAATTAATTTATTTTAAAAAAGAGAGAGAACCTACATGTTCCAGGCAATGACAAAACTTAGTAAATAGCAACAAATAAAACAAACAAGTTTTATAGTCAAAAAAAAAGGAGTACAAATTGGTAGTTACAGAATAGTCATGGGGATATAAAGTACAGTATAGGAAACAGAGTAGCCAGAGAACACATATGCATGACCCATGCGTCAACAGTATGGGGATTGCCTGAGGGAGTTTGGGGGGGGGGGACTTGGTAGAGGATGGTAAAGGGGAAAAAACTGGGACAACTGTAATAGCATAAACAATAAAATATAATTTAAAAAATAAAAGAAAAAAAGAAAGATAAAGAGGGAGGAAAATCCCGCTCTTTTTGAGACCACTTCTGTGCCTGTCACCTATGAGTCGCTTTTCCTCATTTATGGAAGCACCTAACTCAGAGGGTTACTTTCAACCCAACTCCTGCCACCATCAACCTGGATAACTACAGTGATCTCTGAGCCCCTCCCAACACTCCGCTTTCCCACTTCCTCAACATCATCACCTCCAGGAACCCCCTACGCCATGCAGCCACCTGCCCACCCACCGCTATGGTGACCATCTATGATCATCATCTCTAACTCCTTGTACTTCCGAAAGCAATCTCAGACACCCCTCATTTGTTTAACCTCCTAGAAACTTCCAAAACACTGAAGCCTCCATTCTGTTCCTTATTCACCAGCCATCCCCTTTCCTCCCTGCGCAGCTTACATTCACAGTCTGCCACTACCTGTGCCACCAATCACTGATGGGTGTCGATCTCTTAAGTGATAAAACACACCCTCGTTTTTATTAGCCATTCAAAAATGTACAATAGAAATAAAACAAACACAAAAACAAAAAAATGTACAACAGTTGAAATTACATTTGAACACTCTTTGTAGGGCTCCTCAAGAACATTCCCAGATTTAATCACTATCATTACCATGTAGGTCCAAGGTATCTCTAGTTGTATCACACAGCATTGCCCCCATCTACCACTGTAATCATTATAGTTACTCATTACATATCTAGTTGGAATTCACCAGTGAAAACCTTTGTTTTGTGTGCACATGTAAAGTTTTTCTATTCAATTTAACGTTTGCCACCATTTTCACCACTAATGTAAACATGTACGATGGCTCTATCACAGGTCATAGGGTTCCAAAATAAAAGATGTACTTTAAAAAGTCTCCCTTCCCAAACTGTCCCTAGCCATGGTAGTCCCCTCACCACAATAAGAAATCGCTTTATGCCCTGGCTGGGTAGCTCAGTTGGTTGGAGCATCAATCCAATGTGCCATGGTTGCAGCAGGTTCAATCCCTGGTCAGGGCACTTACAAAAGTTAATCAATTAATGCATAAATAAGTGGAACAACAAATCGATGTTTCTCTCTCTCTCTAAAATCAATAAATAAAATTTCTTAAAAAGAAACCACTTATTAATTTATCGTGCATCATTCAGTTTCTTTATGCAAATACAAATATATACTCTTATTTCCCCCTATTTTCTCCTGCTAAAGGTAACATTCTATGTATTGCTATTAGCAACTTGTTTTTTTCACTTAACAAATTCAGGAGATCTTTCCATCTAATGGTGTTTCCATACAGTACAGCCTTTCCATATAATATTCCCACATAATACTCCCTCATTATTTTAAACTACCAGGGTTCTTTTGTATGCACATACTCTATTTAACCTACTAATTATAGTCTTCTTTATCACTATCAATAATTTCATTACCATCAGGTATTAGATGTTCTTCTAGTTGATTTTGTTAATTTTTCTTGCATTACCCCAAAAAAATGACTATTGGCTTTTGGTATTAACATACCAAAGTCTGATTCATGATGATATTTTTTATGATTATATAAAGTAAATGTATTGAATTTTTTTTTCATCAAGCCCTACATAGGCAGTGCCACCATTCATACAGAATACAGGACTACTAGGGTTGTATAATTCCCATCCAGTCTATCCAGTGTGTCATCCACAGTGTCAGGCACTGTTCTAAGTATCTTACCGATTTTAACTCATTAAATCCTCATAACAACACTATTAAGCAGATACTATTATGCTATTAGAGAAGTACTATTATTACCCCATTTTGTAAATAAAAGGACTGAAATTAAGTAACTTGCACAAGACCACACAGCTAGTAAGTGGAAGACCTAACATTCAAACTCATTCTGGCTCCAGAGTCCATTCTCTTAGCCACTGGTACAATTTGAGGTACCAAAAGAAAAATGTTAGGATGTGTCAGGGTTCCAGGCAGTGTGATATAGTACTTACTGCTATTCACCTCAGATCGAGTCACTTAACCTTGCTAAGCCTCAATTTCTCATTTGTAAAGTGAGAATGGGGGGAACGGGGAGCATTACCTCACAAGAAATTGGGAAGACAACAATGATACCATATATAGAACACAGACAGAGGGACCTGGTACATTATGGACAATTTTTAAAAGTTGCAGTGAAATACTATAAATATTCATTAAAGCTTAAAATTGGGAGAGGGTGGTCAAAGAAACTCACTGTGTCTAAGTTTCATCATGATGACCAGCTTAAAAGGATACCGGTTCAAATCTGTAGGTTTTCTTCCTGTTGAAATGGAAAAACCACCAATTTAAACACAGGAGTGGGGAACCACAATGACATAAGCCTTCTCTAAACCCCCAAAAGGCAAAATAAAATGTTAAATAACATGATCAGGAGGCCCTAACAATTAGAGGAACTGGGAGGAGTTATACTGAAGCTGGGGTACACAGGGAAGGCAGTGTCACACTACTCAAAGGGAGGCTAGGTCTAAACCTTTCTTCCTGGGTGGAGTCAATGCCACCATACATCATATAGGGTCCTTGGTCCTCAATTCTCCACCCTGTAGGTAAGAGAATAGCACTAAACCTCTCTACACTGAGGGGAGGGAGTATGCAAGGACAATCTATTTCTACAGTACTTCTTTTCCCACGTAGGGGCTTCTGTGTCTCATCTCCCCTAAAAGGGAGTAAAGACAAATCCCAGGAAAGGGGACATCAGAATGAGGTTGGTTTGTTTTTATTCTGTGTCTATGTGGACTGAGGTCAGTGCAAAATCTTGGGGGAGGGGAGAAAATCTGTGCTTGCATGTGTGTTTGAGTCTGTTCCTTGGTGACTGGAGGGGTACAGAATGCCTTCTGTCCCTCTACTCTGGGATGCAGAGGAACGGGGACACTGGTACAGTGGTTGTGTGCATCTCTGCTGCATGAGGGAGAAGGGTGGGTCTGTACTTCTCTAGGTTGTACAGAAATGGTCCTGGGGACCCTTTACTCTGGGGCGGTCTGTGGGGTGGAATTGATATGCCTGTCTTTACTACAAGGTAACATCAGTGCCACACTAACAAAGGGAGGACTTAACAGTTTTGTGTAAGTAAGGTCTGCACCTTGCCTGCTGTGGGCTATTCTAGATCCTTCCATGGGAGGTGGGATGGGGAAGATCTATTTATCTTTTACACCAGTTGAACTCAACAGTGTACTAACACTGAAGGGAATAGGATCTCTGCTTCTCTGCATTGGGGGTGGAGGGGGGCACAACCCAGCTATAAATTCAATAGACTGGTTCTTACACTTGAGGGTGGGGGAGGGGTCCTGTGTCTTTACCCTAGATGTTGAGAAAGAGAACTAAGCTCCCTACCCTGAGTAAGTAGGGAGCCCATATGCTTGAACTGTGGGTGATCACTTATGTCACTGCCTCTCAACACCGCGGAGAGAGGAAGCTCTCTTTTTCCCTTGGAGTCTCTGCTACAGTTGATTATTCTAAATCCTTGCGGAGGGTGGGAGAGGGGGTGATGATCTCTAAGTCAAAGGAGGAGAACAAATCTAAATCCCTCTACCCTGGGAGTCCCACAAGGCAGATCTGACAGTCTCGTTGTTGGTTTTGGTCTATTGCAATTTGCTGTAGGGTATTTTGGGGGTCGAGCCCTTACAAATTCAGTAAACCAGCACGTCCTTAAGGAGTGGTCTTATTTTCCACAATGGGTACTCACTCTTAGCCTAGGAGGAGGGGTAAATCTGCACGGTTCTCGGCAGGCTGAGGCTCGTGCCTCCAATCACTGGGGGAGGGGTGATAACCATCTCTGCTGGAGCGGGGGTGGGACTTCCGTCCATTAGTTACGCCGGAGCGAGGCTAGGAGGTATCTAGATCTTGACAATAAAGGAAGGATCTTCCGTTTCCTCCCTCTGTATATTAAATTATTGAGCTCCACTATGCTGGTGGTCGGCAAAGGGGGCGGTGGGTTGCGGAGGGAGAAAATACATCAAAGCCTCTTGTCCTAAGAGAAGAGGTGCATCAAGGCGGATTTGTGCGCACCTTAGCGCCCGTAGATATCTGCGCCTGTCCGTCTTCTGAAGATGAGCCCAGATCTCTATACGAGTGGGGTCAACATCGCCACACATTCAGACGGGGAGAACGGGGACGACGCCTGTCTACACCCGGAGAGTGCGGAATGGAGTCTCACTATCATGAAGGGAGGAGGTCACCCGACGCTTCTCCACACGACCGCGGTCTCTGACTCTACAGTGTGTACAGGGTCTTACAGCTGCCTAAATGGGGGGGGCCATGCCCCTCTACCCCGCAAGAGTGCATTTGGGCGCACATCCACGTGCGCAACGATCCCTGCCCTTCATATGTGCCCTTTACCTTGGAAGGGAGCTGGCTCTTTACCTCTCTATTCCTGAGTGGAGTGCGCCTCTTGTTTCGCCTTCAATGGACGACCCTCACCGCGCGGCCGGCTAGCTGAGCGCTCACCCGAAAAAAAAAAAAAAAAAAAGTCGTCTCTTACCTCCACTTCCGGCGGGGATCTGAGCGGAGAGAACAGCGAGACACCACACTTGGCCCGGAAGCAGAGCTTGCGCCGCTGGGTTCCGACTTCCGGATCCCAGCCTCCAGGCTCCAGCTCCGCCCGCCTCGCGCTACGGGAGGTGGGGCTTCAGATTGACAGCTTGTGCTCGCCCGTCCCTTCCCCGCAGCCGCGATAACCCCGCCTTCCCGGCTGGCCCGTAAGGTAAGGAAATAGGCGAGGAGGGAGGAGAGAGGTGGGGATGTGGGGAGAGGTAGAGGCGTTTAAACTGATTTGGCCGCATAATCTATCGTAAGCCAAAATCTTCTCTTCAGTCCTCTGCTTAGGCCTAAATATGCGTGTTTCCAACACCGGGCGACAACCATGACCGCATCAGACAAGAGTGGGGGTCAGTGCCTTTGTCTACATTGGAAGATGGCGACGGGCAAGGGTCTAAGAAAATGGCCGCCTGAGTCACATGTCTTGCCATGTATTCCTCACCTGAAGTGAGTTGGTTAGCTGTTCCCAGCAACCCTCCCGGCTTGTAGGGCCGCAGACAAACCAGGAGGCAGCCACTCCCTGTTTCTTCTGCAGTGTCTAAGATCCGTGGCCAGGCCCTGGAGCCGAACACCTGGAAGCCTCTCCCACCTGTTTGCCCTCTTCCCCTCCTCCTCGCTTCTTCCCTCAGGCCCCGGAGCAGTGCATGCAGAAAGGAATGAATTTATATCTCTGGAGTAGGGGCACGTACGGGTTTCTTCACAAACTATCTCGAGGAGCTCCTCACCTGGCTGGAAAATGAAGCCTCCCCCTAAAAACTGAATATAATGGTGAAAATGTCTTTCTGACCATTTAATTCCAGCTCCTCCTTTTCCCCTAGCCTAAACTTCGGGGTGGGGCCAAGCCACTCTACACCGAGGGTATGTTCCTCCACCTCCACCAAATCCAGGCAGAAAATGACACCCTCTGCCTAGTTCTATGCCTTATATACATAGGATTTACTGCCCCATCATCGATGGAAGACTTCTAATCTCTCACTCTAGAAACATAAAAAACAACTCTGGACCCCAAACCAGCCCTGGTCACCTTCACCTTTCCCCCTACGATAACAAATCCTTCTGTTTCTTTACCCTTGTCACTTATAAGAATTTTCCCAACAGACTTAGAAAGCCAAGGCACTTTGTCGCACTTAATCACTTAATACTGGAACCATTCACATAGCTGTATCTTAACAGAGTGAAATCCTTAAGACTATGGGCTATGTATCTTCGAACCCTCAGCAAGACCCAGCACAAGACTGGTACAAGGCAGACTTAAGCAAATATTTGTTAAATGGGTGAAATTATAGGCGTACACCACAAACCAATGGGAAAATGGAAATTTCGGTGGATAGCATTGGGAAGCTTGGCTCACCATAAGGAGAAAAATAAAACTGGATCCCTACTTATTTTCATATAAGAGGGTTGAGTATATTTCTGTAACCTAGGACAGGTATGGATTTTTAAACAAACTCAAATGCACAAAATATCAGGAAAAAAATTGTAATGAAATCTTTGATAGAAGTGAGAATTGGTTTTATTACTTCGGAAAACAAGAAGTATCCAGAATAACTGAAGATAGCCCTGGGACCCAGTGATTCTACTGGGGTGTGTGTGGGGGGGGGGTGTGGGGTGTGGGGGGGGTGTGTGTGTGTGTGTGTGTGTGTGTGTGTGTGTGTCCATGCCCTAGACTTTAAGTCCTAGAGAAATTCTTATATACATTCACAAAGAAGCATGTGCAAGAATATTAATTGCAGAACTGTTCGTAATAGAGAAAAAAATCTGAACAATCTAAAAGTTCAATAGGAGAATGAATAAATAAATAGTGGTATAGCCCCATGAGGGAATACTGTGCAGCAGTGAAAAAAATGAGCCAGAGTTGCATGTATCAATACAGATAAACTTAAAAATCACAATACTGAGATAAAATACAAGTTGTAAAAGGATACATGCAGTATTAAACCATTTACTCAGATTTTTAAAGCCTAGAAAATTGCACAAATTTGTTTATAGATTATATGAATATATAAACATTTTTAAAACAAAGGAAGTGTCAAATACCGAAGGAAGAATGGTGATTAGTTCTGGGGAAGAAAACAAAGGAGGAGAATTAGAGAAAGATACAGAGGGGACTTGAACTGTTTGTCTAATCATTTATCTGGGTAGTAGGTACATGGGTATGTGTTATTCTGTATACGTATTTGCATGTCTAAAAGATTTTATGATTTTTTTAGGAAGACTACAAGGATCTACAACGAAATTAATGGTGGCTAAATGTAGATCACTGGTTCTCAAACTTGGGTCAGCAGCAGAATCACTGGAAGGGCTTGTTTAAAAAAACAAAGAACAACAACAAAAAAAAACAGTTGCTTGCCCTGGCGGTGTGGCTTGATTGGAGCACCATCCTGCAATGGAAAGGTTGTGGGTTTGATTCCCTATTTGGGAACATGTGATCCCTAGTCCTGGCACTCATGGGAAGCAACTGATTGATGTTCTCTCTCACATCAATGTTTTTCTCTCTCTAAAAGAAATGAAAAAATGTCCTCAGGTGAGGATAAAATTTTTTTTTATTTTAGATACCACTTGCTGGGCCCCACACGTAAATCTTGGTATAGGGCCCAGGAATTTGCATTTCTAACATTCCCAAGTGATGATGACGGTGATGAAGCTGCTGCTGCTAGTCCAGGTGTCACATTTTGAGAATTACTGACAAAATGAGAATGACAGTAAGTTTAAGGTTGTTTTCATTGTGCTTTTCTGTGTTTTCACATATCGAATGAATATCTATAACTTTAGGGAGCTTTTATTCTATTTGTTAAATTCACTTTCAACGCTACTTTTCACTCTTTATTTCCCTCATGTTTTTACACAAATGGTGACATACTTCACATACTGTTATATGTGTTGTTTTTTTCACTTAATAATACTTCCTGGAGGTCTTTGCACATCAGAACATTAGAGAGCTTCCAGTACATATAGAAAGTCATTGTAAGGAAGTAGATGGAGTACTTCCTCAAAATGTTACATTATGTGGATATACAATATTTTATTTGATGACTGAGGTCCACTATTGATGAATGCTTGGATGCATTAGACATTTCATACAAGACATATTTCTGTAGGATAAATTCCAGCAATTACATTTGTACCTTTGGTGGATATTGCCAAAAATTTCCCATGATTTGTGTACCATTTTGTACTCACCACCGATGTATGAGGTTATTTGTTTCACCACAGCCTCACCAACAAAGTGTAGTATTAAAGACTTCCTCCATTTTCTGTTGGATTTTTGGTCTTTCTTTGATTTCTATAAACTTTTTGTATAATTACAATGTTTACTTCCTCCAATATGAATGTTAAACTGTGAATGATATCACTTGTCAGTATTTTCTCTCAGTTTGTCATTCCTTTTCTTTGCTACTGAATTTTTCCAAGTAATTTTATTTTTATGTAAAAAGTTATCTGTGTTTTCTTTTATGAATTCTAGATTTTGAGGAGATAGTTTTGCAATGCATTGCATTAAAGACCCAAATTTGTCATGCGTCTCTCTATCCATACCCTTTGGTAATTCCCTCCTATACTGTCTCTGAGTTTGACCATATAACTTGCTTTTACAAACAAGATAGTATCAAGTTTGATATAAGCAGAGACTTGAAAAACCTCTTGCATATTCTGCTTCCTCTCTTTGGACCCCTGCTACTGCTATGAGAACATGCAGGCTAGAACATATGGAGGGATGTGAGACACATGTCGAAATGAGCCTGGTCCTCCCAGCCAAGGTATCCTATAGCAGCCAATCTCCAGCCAAGCCACCAACTGATGAAATAGCCCATTTGAGATCAACAGAGCCTGATCCAGATTGTAGAACCTCCCAAGTGTGACCCATAGATTCTTAAGTTTTGGTACATAAATGTTCATTTTGGTTTTTTACACAGCATATTTGTGACAATAGTCCTCCGTCATTGTTCGCCCTTTTCAGAGATAACCTGGCCGTGCTTGCTTGTTATTTTTCCATTCAAAATTGAATTCAGCTTGTGTGGTTTCAAGGGAAAATGACATTTGTAATGAGCTTATATTAAACTTATAGGTTATTTTGATATCTTCATAACTTTCAGTCCTCCTATTTAAGATGTGGGATGCCTTTCCATTTGTTCCTCCAGAGTTTTATAAATGTTTTCTCATAAAGATTTTGGACATTTGTTGTTAAGTTTGTTTCTAAGTATTTGCTATAGGCTGAATGTTTGTGTACCCCCAAAATTTATATTTTGAAACCTAATCCCCAATGAGATAATAATAGGAGGTGGGATATATGTAAAGTGATTAGGTCATGAGAGTGTAGCCCTCATGAATGAGATTAGTGCCCTTAGAAAAGATGCCTCAGAGAGCTCTCTTGCCCCTTCCACCATGAGAGGACACAGCTAGAAGAAGGAAGCCTATGAGCCAGGAAGCACGCTCTCAACAGATACTGAATCTGCCCATGCCTCGATCTTGGACTTCCCAGCCTGTAGAACTGTGAGAAAGAAATATCCGTTAAGTTTATAAGCCCCCCAGTCTGTGGTTTTCTGTTACAGCAGCCCCAATGGACTAAGATAGTATTTTATCTTTTCCTCTAATAAATGGAGCCGCCTTTTCATGAGTTCTATATATTAATTTTATATCCTGCTACCTTACTGAATTATCTTGTTTGTAGTAATTCTTCAATCAATTTGTTTGGGTTTTCTGTCTATACAATCTTATCTATAAATGATAGCTTTACCTCCATTCCAATTGTATACTTCTAATTACTTTCTCTTTTCTAATTACAATGCTTACTACTTCCAATAGGATGTTAAACTGTAGTGGAGAGGGTATATACCCTTACCTGGTGTCTTGATTCTAGCATATGAATGCTGCTAGTGTTTCCTGGTTAAGTGAAATGATGGATAGCTGG